CGTTAGAACGTTTAACTTTATTAATACAATTTCAAAATCTAAAAGGTTTAATAGACTTGATAAATCTTTTAATTATTTATTAAATAATATAACTCTTATAAAAATTGAAGTTAATTTGATAAAGTTGTTATAGATCACACTTTGAGTTTGAAATAAATTTGTGAGGAATGAAAAGAATGAAAATCATGTTTTATGGGGAAAGACATTACGCATAATGAGTGTAATGAAAACCTTGGAACTTTCTTTTACAGTAATCTATCTACCACATCCCTCCTCATCCTCTTTTACCTCTTCCTCTCTCTCTTCTACTACCACCTCCTCATCTCCTTGGGAGAAAACAAAATAGATTTCATTCCAATTTTTACTAGAATACTTATTTTACCAGCAAATGCATATCGAAACAAATCATACAGAAGTCTTTTCATTTCACAGCAAGATCCTGATGCGCGCATCCAAGAATCACCAAAAGTTACATCGAAATTATCGTTCCCAAATTCGTGCTGACGCTGAACGTCGACGTGGTGCACCATGAATCAATCACAGACACAACAGAAACCAGCCTTAACCACAATAAAAGGATTTCAGACTCCTGTCGCTTCAGGAGATGAAGATTCTGATTATGGCTCTAATACTCCAGCACGATACAACCCAAAAATCAGTGATATTGTCACCGCAAATTGCAGCCCTTCATTGAAACCATTCAGATCTCCGGGACTGGGTGGCATTAGTAAACTAAAGCTACAACTCGATACTTTGAACTTGGAAAACGAATCCAGAACAAATTCGATGGTGCGCAATCAATCTCATTCTCAACCACAAAGTAGTACGGCAACGACATCTGACGATTTGAGCGATGATGAACGATCCGATAATACGAGCTACGAGATTCCTTTGGAACATGACTTCGTCAGCGAAAGTGTGTGCGAAAGGCCAATGTTTAATGCGGTCGAAGGAGGATTAGTTCAGGATACCATCGCGAGAAAGATGACAGCAGACGACTTCGAATCTTTACGATGTTTAGGAAAGGGAACATTTGGGACTGTTATCCTGGTCAAGCAACGCACAACAGGTACACTATTCGCTCAGAAACAATTCAAAAAGGCATCCTTAACGGTCCACAAGAGATTGGTGGAGCAGACCAAGACAGAAAGAAGCATTCTTGAAAGCGTAAATCGACATCCCTTCGTTGTCAAATTATTTTACGCATTCCAGGACCAAGAGAAATTATACTTGATTTTGGAATATGCGCAGGGAGGGGAATTGTTCACTCACTTGGCACAAGAACGCATGTTTACCGAGGAAGCAGCATCGTTCTATATGGCGGAGATGGTTTTGGCTTTGGAGCATCTTCATCAAAATCTTGGAGTCGTCTATCGCGACCTCAAACCCGAAAATTGTCTCTTGGATGCCGAAGGTCACTTACTTCTCACCGATTTCGGACTAAGCAAGGTCGCTGTTGACGAAAATGATAAATGCAATTCGATGTTGGGTACTGTCGAATATATGGCACCTGAAATCATTCTTGGACAAAAGTACGGAATGGCCGTCGATTGGTGGTCTTTTGGTGCTCTTGGATTCGATTTATTGACTGGCAGCCCACCATTTCATGGTCAAAATATTGCAAAAATTCAGGAACGGATTGTGAAGCAAAAGCTTGTCATGCCTTATTTTCTTGGACCAGATGCGAAAGATTTGTTGACTCGTCTACTTCGTAAGGAACCAAACAAAAGACTCGGATCTCATATGCCCAAGGACATGGCCATTATCCAAAAACATCGATTCTTTCGGCGTATTGATTGGCAGAAACTTGCAAAGAGAGAAGTCAAGGCACCAATTCAACCATTGATCACAGATCCGGAACTCGCGGAGAACTTTTCGGATGATTTCACTGAGCTTTCTTTGAGTCCTGTACTTACCAGTCACAATATACCATGGAGTGCGACTTCTGCGAACGAGAATAATCCTTTTGGCGGATTCAGTTATGTTGCAAGTCAGAGTCTGTTGGATTCAAATGGATTCTTAGAAATGAACCATAACAAAGTGACCGCATGAATCGATTTCAGTCAGCTTATATTCTACAGCGACGCATTCTTCGCGAGGGCTAAGTATTTTTATATTGGGAACTGCCTTGGGAGCACTCGGAGAGGTTCTACCTTAATTGGGTATTCTGTATATTACACGCGAGGGAATAGACTAGATTTTGATCAATTCGGTAGATCATAGACATGTTTATTGGCGTTGTAGTCGAGGTTAGACGGCCAGGAAATTGGGAAAAGTTGGCGGCCATTATAGGTTTGATGGTTTGGTGGGAATTGGGACTTTCAAATTATGAATTCTTTATAGATTACGGTATTGGTATAGGCAATGAATCGTATTATTAATGATTGTTGATGATTTTCTGTTGATACTTTGCTTTTGAGTGAACGTTTTTAGACTATCTCCAATGTGAATCACCACTCCTAGATCAATTCTCTAGACCTTTAATGCTTTTGATTGTTCTCTTATTATATCAGTATATCAAAGGATATACCTTTTGAGTTTCAAGCATACCTAGGTACTCTTCTGAAAAATTAAAATTGGGAGACGGTGAACTCCTATGTATTCTCATTTATCATAACTTCCACATCATCAATGCAATTTTGACTTTCTAATTAAGTTTCAATCACGTCATCACTTTTTTAATCAATATCTACGAGTATTACATCAACCAAAACCTCAAGTTCCATCCCCTTCATGTCATTTTGCTACAACACAATCACAGTCACATTTTTTAGTTACCTTTACAAAACATTAAACATGGTGAGTACGGTACCTACCTACCTACCAAGTTTAAAAAACACAAAACCCTCCATATCTTTCTAATACATCTCAGGGAGGAGGTACTGATATACCTGTACCTGATCAGTCAAAAGACTCAAATGCCATCGTCGATATTCTCATCCTAGGCGCCGGCTGGACCTCAACTTTTTTAATCCCTCTTCTTCAACAAAAGGGAATCAAGTACGCCGCAACCACGACCACCGGTCGTGATGGAACGCATCAATTTCGTTTCGACCCAGAGAATGGTGATGAGAATCGAGAACAGCTTCGGAAATTGCCGTTTTCGAAGAATGTTTTGATTACTTTTCCGTTGAAAGGGAAGGGTCAATCTCGTTTGCTGGTTGAGGGGTATTCTGATACTCATTCTTCTCATTCTTCCAATTCTCTTTCTTTGGGAGATGATGATGATGATAATGATGAAAATAAAAACTCAACCCCGTTCCACTTCATCCAGCTAGGAAGTTCAGGAATCTTTACAATACCAGGTCAAAGCACATGGGTGACTCGTCACTCATCATATGACATTACCGATGATCGAGCTATAGCTGAAGATGAGCTGAGAGAATTGGGTGGATGTGTCCTTAATCTAAGTGGATTGTGGGGTCGCGAACGACATCCTAAGCACTGGTTAGAGCGCGTAGCCCGCACAAAGGATATGCTGGGTGCTAAAAAAAGTTTGCATATGGTGCATGGACTGGATGTTTCGAGAGGTTTGCTGGCTGTGTTTGCGTGTTGGGAGAAGGGGATGGGTCAACGTTTTGTGAGTTTGGTTTTCTGGTTGTCTGGTTGCATTGTATTGTATTATTATTCTTTGAGTCGTCACTGACTGACTGATATGGCTATTAATTAGGTGTTGACGGATCTCATGGTTTATGATTGGTGGTGTTTGATCTTGGGGTATGCAGGGGAACTGGATGAGGAGTCAGGAGATGGGAAGATGGAGGGGAGACAAATTAAGTGGGTGGGTGAGTTGATGATGGAGAATAATGTGAGAGCGTTGCCGAGATCAATGGAGGATTTGGGAAGATGTTATGACTCGAGGGAATTTTGGGATACGTTTGATGTTATGCCGGTGAGGTCGAGAATTTGATTGTTTTGGTAATTGAAGGATACATGTAATTGGGATTTGATCTCACTGGTTTTAGATGGTGTGTTAGTAGGGGGGCCAGGTGAACAAAGTTCGGTTTTATAGAGATATATATATAATCTAGGGCTGTTTGACGATTAGGTCTACTCGAGTACAAAAGTACAAAAGTCCAATTTGCTACTCATATTTGAGTACCCAAAGACCTAGATGATTTGCCGGGGTAACACTTTTAATATATACCCCTCATTTCAATCTTAGCGGACCAATCACAACAACGGACAAAAATCATGTTCGGGGAAGCAAGACGGAGAGGAGACTAGATTTCGGAAAATTGGAGAATATAATTTTTCGTGTCTATCGTACGTAGCTCGTCGAATGGTGGAAGATTAGATTTCTTGACTGGGAATCTCGGAAGACGAGGATTTTCCAAAACTGTGCCGTGTTGTTTGTTTGTTGCTGCTTTTCATATGATGGATGCCTTGATGATGATGGGGGCTGAGATTGGGATTTTATATAAACTAAGCTGATGGGCTATGCATTCTAGTGAGGATTCTTTTGAGTTTCAATCTAATACAGCGATACTTGTGTTAAGTCTTCGAGCTTGAGAATGAAAACTTTCGACACGAATTATGAAATTCTGGGCTCTTCTGACTACGGTCTTGCCATTAACCTTAGTATTGGCAAGACAAGAACACTATTCAAGGCAGGACATCAAATCTCTGCCCCAATAACATACTTACAACTTCCATAGCGATTCCTCTTCATTCTTCTTCAAGGGGCATGATCTTTCCTCCCTCATGCTCGAAGAAGGAGGCTCCATTTTTAAAGACACCCTTAAACACAACGCCACTCGTCCGGCCGAAGCTATCCTAAGAGATGAAAGAATGAACACCATTTGACTCCGTCAATGGGTAAGTCCCGTAGACGATACTTATGGCCTTGACTATATTCTCAAACTTGCAAAACGGATGCAAAAGCAAGGCTATAAAATCTATCTCGATTTCCATTTCTCGGATTCATGGGCCGACCCAAATAAACAACCACCTCCGGCCGCCTGGTCCACTAAACTAAAGCCTCTTGCTAGAACTTTGAGAGAGTGTGTTAAGGATACATTGGTATCTTTCAACCAAGCTGGAATTACGCTCGATATCGTGGGCTCTGGGTAATGAAATCCGTCACGGAATGTTATGGCCAGTCGGCTACGTAGACGTAGACGTAGACATGCAACTCACCAGTTCCCTGCACCACAATTTCTCCTCATTCGCCACTCTTTGGAAATCCGCTCGCGCCGGTGTTGACGATGCACTCACTCTTGGAGTCCACAAGCCTCAAATTATGATCCATATCGATGATGGCTGGAACGTCACACTTCAACAACGATGGTTCGATGTCTTAACCGCCAACGGCGTCACCTTTTCCGCCTGCGACATATTTGGATTGATTTTCTTTCTACCCTTTCTACGGCACCGCAGCTACACTTGACAATTTACGCACAACGTTACATTGGGTTGCAGAAAGGTATCGAAAGCAGGTCCATGTGAGGGAGAAGGATTATCCGGCGATTTGTGATGGGGAATATAATCCTATTCCTACAAGTAGTGAACCGGAGATTCCATATACGGTTGATGGACAGTTGGAGTGGACGGATGATGTTATTAGTATTGTGAGAAATGTTCTGTACGGATTAGAGAGGGGAGTTCATTATTGAGAGCCGGCCTGGTTGAATAATACGAGTTTGGGAAGTGATTGTAATGATGCGATTTTGTTTACGCCGAATTATAGTGGATATCCGGTCACGGTAGGGGGTATAGTAGAAAGTCGGTGAATTTGTTCAAGTGAGGGAGGTGGAGGATTATAAACTGATTCTGTTATATGTATGATAGTGAGTGGGTGAAGGTTTCATATAATTAACACTTTGAAATTATGTACTGTAACGATTCAGCATTCAGGGAATTCGATATATTTCACTTATTACTTCCATATCCTTCCATGAAAGCATATCACGGAAGATTTGGAATGAACATGAATATAAAGACGAACCATTTGATCCCATTATTCCGAATTATGAGACCGACCAACGCGCACTAGTTGTCACGCTCTTAGCTAAAACCTAGTCAACTCTTGACATATGGACTCCACCTACTTCCTCGATGTTACCCCCTCCGCTCCAATATCTTCTCCCTCTCTCCCCTCTCATCTAGAACTGATAACCCTTTTGTTCCCCCATATCACAACTTAAAACCCCCATAACTGAGTGAGTGATCCAGTATCTCTTCCATAATAACCCGAAAATCCACCCACCTTGCAGTGTGTCCAATAGTCCAGACTGCAGAACGTACTAGGTTTTCTCATATGGCTAGTATAGCTTTCAGTCCAATGAAAAGGCAGACTAGCTAGTCTATTGATATTTATTGGCTAAGTCAATTGGATTACAATCTAGATAAGCTAGACTAGTTTTACTTCTAAAATCAAATTTCATAAGATAATATTATAATTATATAAATATTGTATTATATAATCAAGGTTTTGATTATATAGAAACAAGCTTAACTAGTCTAAAAGTCTAGATACTAATCTGAAAATTTGTATTTTAGATTAGCCAAGCTATTTTTTTATCTCAAATTCACTCTACAATAGTTTAAATCCAATCCAATCACAGACTAGCCATCCAGACTGCCATCCGGATGGAAGACTACAAGACTGCTGGATACACTGGGGGTCCCACAATCAAGTATCCTCTGCCATGAAATGTATCTACAAGCGTGAGCCATTCTTTCTATAGATTCAAATTGCTTATGATATCTATCCAGAACGACAAATTCTTAAATCGCCTTTAAAGTACTGTATATCTAATGCCTCTAAGCAGAGGTATATGAGCCCATTCAAGTTACTATCATTCTCAAGCACCCGTAAGACTTCTTCTATTCCCTAACATGAACTGTCGTACTGACATAGTTCATGTGTGGTAATACTTCAATACTTATTGCTGATTGCTTTCTTGACTTCAATATTTTCTTTCGTCTGCCAAGTGCATCTAGATTTTAGTCCATGACTTGCAATGGAAAATAGATGCCTAGAAAACAATCATAACTCCAAAATAGTTTAAAGCTATTCTTTTTGGGACAGTACGAAATTCATCGCATCGTTATAATACGATATTGATAATGCTTTCTGCTATATGATTATATAGTAACATTCAATCAATAACTATATATTATCCTCGAACTTGATATGCGTTAACAAATAATTTGATATCTTTTGAATAAAAAATATAAATACTACAGCACTATAATATCAAATAACCCTCCAAAAATCAAACATCGACATTCCTTTGATCAAACTTGAATTAACTAACAAAGAACACCTCTTTTCGCATTCTACTCGGTATATAGACAAACAATAGGATTTCCTTCTCTCTAATATCCAACCTCTCAGACTCTCATTTATCCCTTCCGAATATAGAAAAAGTATTTTCTATCACTACTCGTCTATATTTCCTACTTGCAGTATCATTCAACATTCCTCCCTCAACTCAGAGCCTTTCAAACATTTCAAAAATCCAAATCAAAACTTATAATCCAATTATATTCTCTACAAAAGTTCAGATTTTTCAATTTCTTGCACTCTCAGATTATAACACAATAATTATAGTGTTGAATCATTATCTATTACTTCTCTGTGTATTCCCTCAATTAAAGTTTCATCATTTTATCTGTTAGATTCGATTTGCATTATTGGCTGTTGTATGTCACGATTTTGCAATGCTTATATATTCTGATATATGTCCCGGAAATCTAAATGCTATGTATGTGTGTATACATCAAGATAGGATAAAAATTATACAATATATCTCATATTGAACAATTAGTATACTATACTTTATAATCCGAGTCAATACCGTACATACAATATATATCATTTGATATCGAATCATCGCATCACATCACACAAATCCCACCACACACATCACAAACTCAAACCCCAAACCCCAAACCTTTATAAATAATCTTTATAAAGAAATCTAATTACCATCTACAAAACATTAAACATCAAATCAAGTACTCTAATCCCAAACCAAAACAAAGAAAAATCTCTAAGCCTACCTGTACTATTTCCACAACTGTATCCATTAAGCCCTCCAATTTTCTGCTTTTTTCTATACCAAACACTAAAGACAAATAAAATAAAATAAAATAAACAGAACCAATCCACCTACCTATCTATCTCCAAGTCCTTACCTACTACTACTTCGAATTTCTCCCCTAATCAATAGGTTCGATTTGAAACTCACTTGAAGAAGAAGATATATTATCGTCCTCTCCATCACCCTCACCCTCACCCTCACCCTTACCCTTACCCTTACCCTTACCCTCTAACCCCTCATCATCACCCTTTTCCCAACTATTAACATCAACAACCCCAGCCCTATTCCCCTCCATCGCAATCTCCTGTCTAATCCGCTCCAATTCATCTGCATCCATCCCCTGCGGACTCACCTGATTACCATTCCTATTTCTCCTCGAGAAACTTTGACGACCACCACTCCTCTCATTAGATCTCTGCTGAAGACCCCTCGAAGGAATTTTTCTCTCTTCACTCTTCTGTGCCTGATTTTGTCCCTCAGGAACAAAACCCTCCGTAAACCCATACCCCACCGGCCACCTATGACCCGGCGAAATATCACATCCGGGACTAACATCCTCCACCACCGGCTGCTGCATTCTCTGCTCCCCACCAAAAGGATTCCTCATCCCCTCAGGCCAATACTCCTCACCCCTACCATCAGCCCCCCCAATCCTAACCAACATCTGCCACGCCTCCCTCTGTACCTCCACATCCTCATCCGCCAACCTCTTATTCAATTCTTCAATCTCCGCGGCCCCAACCTCAAAACGCCACCACTCATCATCCTGCTTCTCAAACTGCTCCATCGTCTCCGCCGCCTGCGGAAACATCGCCGCAACCGTATCCGGATCTTCGCGGTTCAATCTCCAATTCCAGGAGCGGAGGAAGCACCGCAAGGATGGTGATACCTCGTCCATTTGTAATCCCTGCATCATGCGTTGAAGTCCTTCTTCGCGGGTGGCCGGTAACTCATGGTGCATTTCCCAGCGCTGTCCCATGGTTCCGCGTCCGCGCCATATCCCATCGTTAGCACCGTCATTGACTTCTTCTTCGTACAGAGCATCGGCGAGTTGGGCGCGCGCTTGGAAGAGGATGGCGTTTTCTTGGCGCACGGGATGGTAGAGGGGACCGAGGTCGGGGGTGGGTCCCGCGTAGGCTATTCGAGTAGGGTCGAGGCTGGCGATGTTGGGGGCTGCGTCAAGCCATTCGCTGGAGAGGACCCGCTGTTTCCGGTGTAGTTGGGCCCCGATGAAGTTTTTGGTGTTGGGGGCGAGAGCTTCGATGGTGGAGGCGGGAATACCGTTTAGACGGTGCGAGTGTTCGGTTGCGAAGCGCTGGAAGTAGTTGTCGGGAAAGGGGAGGTGGGGGAGAGGGGGATGGGAGACAGTATAGTCTTCATATATTTCCTCTTCTTCCTCTTCCTCTTCTCCTTCCTCTCCTTCCTCTCCCTCCTCTCCCTCCCCATCACCCGAAATCTCGCCACTTAAATCAGAGTAATCAGAATCAGGATAACCAGAAGAAGAAGAATCAGGAACACAAAATCCAGTCCTAGGTTTAGGTTTCTTTTCTTCCTTTTCTTCCTCATCCATATTAGAGTAATGAGAAGAAGAAGAATCAGGAACACAAAATCCAGTCCTAGGTTTAGGTTTCTTTTCTTTCTTTTCTTCCTCATCCATATCCTTACCTTTTTCTTTTTCAGCTTCATCTTGAGTTTTACCTTCTCCATCTTGCCTCTCACCTTGCCCCTCACCTTCCACTTCAGACTCACTATCATCCTCCCCCGAAAGAAGGGTAGATTCCGAATCTGATCCCCTTGGTTTCCCACCGAATCCTACATTTCTCTTCTTCTCTTCCTCCTCACTCTTTCCCTTTTCTTTATCCCCCTCAACCTTCGAACCAAGCTCTTCATCAGTCTTTGGCTTTTTCAACTCAACCAATTGAATAGCACCCTTTCGAATAGGAAATTCTTCAGAGGAAGATGAAACTTTCTTTTGTTCTTTTCCCTCGGGTTTCTCTATCTCCTCGGAAGAAGAAGAAGAAGAAGAAGAAGTAGATAGATCTTTCTTTTCTTCCTTCTTGGGTTTCTCCTCCTCCTCCTCCTCCTCCTCATCAGAAGATTCCGAAAACCCCGGATAAATACCGACATCTAGAGGTAGCAGTGGCGCATTAACAATGGCATTTCTATTCTTACCTGGAGTTTTGCCTGGAGTTCTCAGAGGCGGTGTTCTACGTTCAGGGCTAGGATTAGAATTAGTACTAGGCTCAGGACTTGGAATAGGAATAGGATTAAACGGATCAAAATGATCCGATGAAGATTCAGTCGATGGACCCGATGATTTCTCATCATAATCCCCATCATTACCCTCATCATCCCCATCCCCATCATTCTCACCCCCCTGAACCAAATATTCCATCGGAGCAGAAGTATACCAATGTCTATACACACCATTCTCCAACCACCTACCCTTCCTATTCTCATAATAATTCGCCTCCCCCTTCAACCCCAACAGCCTCAACAATTCCACCACCCCACACCACTTCTCCCCAAAACACGGTTGATACAACACCCCCCTCGGTAAATACCTCCCCCTCCCCACCGTCATCGCATCCGGTATCCCACTAACCCACTTCTCCCCCGTAACCCTCATCAACAACTGCGAAAACTCATACACATTCGGATCCCTCGTATACCTCACCAACCCCACCAAAAGCCTCACCCAATTCGCCACCTCATTCCCATCCAAACTAGCCCTATGCTGTCTACACTCCAACGTATCCTTAACCCTGCCCCCCTCCACCCCCATCCTCTCGAAATTCCAACTCCCCGTTCCCCCAACATACGCATACACGCCTCCAGCCCCGTCACTCCCCACCATATCCCTAAACTGCCTCTTAGTCCCACACTCCAACAACATCTTCATAGCCTCCAACACTCTCGCCTCTCTCCCATACTCCTCCCGATATTTGCACTCAAACCACGTGCTGCGTCTCCAACTCGCACAATTGGTATTCCGATCATCGATGCGGTGTTCCGGATGCAGACTCTCGAGTTGCGGTTCAAACGCCTGTAACATGGCGCCTAGACGTCGCACGTGCGGGAGTGTAAACCCATCGAGTCCATACCCGATATGTACGTGCAGTCCACAACTATCATTAACCATGGTTAGATAATTACGACGCATGGTTTTACAGAAATCTTGCACATCGCGTAATGCATCTTCGCAGTAGTAGTAGGCGGGTGTACGTACCTCGATCGGGATATAAGTATAAGTATTCCAGTCCGCATAAGCTTTTTTGGAGCTCTTAGGCGGCGCTTTGGGACTTTGGATGGAGCCGTCGGTGGTGATTTCCCAGACGGCAAAGTTAGAGTGGGCGGGACCGTGCTCGGTGGGGAGCCCGATGGAAGAGAGGGTTCGTTTGATGTGGGCGTAGATGGACCATTCGTTGGCAACTAGTTCTTTGCCGGCGGGAATGACGAAGTGGGGTGGTGCGCCGTCATTTGGGGTAGGCGGAAAGTAGACGGTGCGGGGGTCAGAGGGGTTGGGGTTGGGGATGCGTGGGTCGGAGACGACAGCGATGAGGAATTCGAATTCGATGCCGAAGGAGGGGGTGTTTTCTGATATTGATGACATTTTTTCTGGTTGTTATTATTATTTATGTATATATGTATATATGTGCGTATGTGTGTGTTGCTATAATTGATCTGATAATTGTGTGTATATCTAATATGTAATGTAAGTATACAAAACGTAGAAGATGTACTTACTAGTACTTGTCTTGGTTAATGTAAAGTGTAGTCCAGCTACCTGTGATCTTGGTTCTTCAATTTTCAGTTCAATCAATGTAAAAGGTTTTGTAAATTATTCTTGAATCCCGAACAGCGCGCGGGGGGGACAATGGCAGTTTAAGTAATAGGATTGTATTTTATGAAAGACAATAGGTTTGTGAAGAATGTGATAAAGAAGAGGATAAAAAAATGAAAGAAACCAAAAAATGACGAGAGAGGAAATAGAGATTCTTTGTTAATAGACAAGGGTATTGACAAAAAGAAGGGAATTCCATCCCATCGCATCCCCCTCTCTCAAAGAATGAAAGACCATGAAGTGACATGAGATACCAGGAGTAAAACGATTCCTAGCAAAAGATTCGGATGAAAGGTCTATTATGAGAATTTAGTACCCATTCATCCCTTTGTCCATAACCAAAAAAAAGCCAATCTATTTATACAATTCCTTTCAATCAACAAGCAGAACTAAAAACTCAATGCTTTGTGAGATGCTTTGTGAGATGTAGATAAAGGAGATTTCTATTTCTCGGCTAATAATAAGCAGCTGACAGAAAGTTAGGTGAGAAGTTACTGTACCAAAGAAAGTATGAGAGGTGCAGCCTACCTTGAAGAGATATTAATTTGTGCTTTTAGTATACCGTTTTATAACTTTCTCTCCTCAAATAGAAGTACCTCACTCACGAGTCACTGACCACTCACAAGTACTTATCTCCCTATCCCCACCACTTCACCACTTTCCCTATACCCCCATGAATACCCCACCACTCCGCATCACCACAAACTCCAACTTCAACTCAATTTACTTTCCTTTTCTATTATACCATACCAAAATACCACTCATTTATACCCTCACCACTCACCTATACCCCCTTCCATCTTCCCCTTCCATCACCCCTTCCCCCCATCACCCTCCCCTCACCACTCACCTATACTCTCACTCCATCACCCCTACCCTCATCACCCTTCCCCCCTCCCCTCACCAATTCCCCACTCCAATTTCCCACCCCAAATCCCAAACCCAAAGTTCAATCCATCAATCCATCAATCCATCAAATCCATCAAATCAAGTCAATGGATAAAGAAATAAACCATTCAAATCATTAAATAGAACCAACTGACTGACCCGTAAGCAGAACATAAGAATGAGTAACCATGATTGCTGAAACCATAAAACCATAAAACCATAAACCATAAACTATGAAACGTTCTATACTTACATCTAAAACATATCTGTACCAGCACTCGCTGATGAGGCCAAACAAAGTATTCAGTACCCAAGCAAGGTACATTGATATAAATCCATCTTCTCACAGAAAAACCTCTCATAACCTCACTCAATCATCAATCATCAATCAAAAATCTCTGGCACGCACAATCGCATTATTGGTATATACTATGCTATGCTACGCCAGTTTATGAATAATGGTATGCAAGTCAAGCCCCAAAAAGCTAACAATGCCCATTCTCATCTCAATCATTAATCATCCCCTTTCTCTCCATTTCCCTCTCCCTCTCCCTCTCCATTATTAAAATATCAGCTTTCATGAAAAAAAAAGGAGCAGCTCAGCCACTTCTCAAGTGAGTACCTTCAAGAACACTGATCAATAGGAATCGATGTAGAAACGTGAGTTCACAAACCATCAACACCAATGCTAATCAGAAAGGGTAATACGCGCTTTAAAAACAAAAAAACAATAAGATGAAAGCGTGAATTAAGCACATAATCATCGTGGGATGATGATTCAAAAACTTCTCATGGTCTTTGCAATGATACAAAGATCATGGTATCATTCCTAGACCCCATCTTCCGAGCACATCTTAAAGCAACAAGCCAAAGATACCAGCAACACCTGCAGCGAGGATTCCGGTACCATATTCACGACCAATGTTCAAAGCTGATGCGGCCGCGCTAGAAGTAGCTGCTGGAGCGGCGCTCGTGGCAGTGGAAGCTGATGTATCGGTGGCAGTTGCGGAGGCACTGGAGGAGCTGGCCGAAGTAGCCGCCGCAGCAGTGAAGTTATCGGGATCCAAATGACCGCAGTTGGTCTTTTCGTTTTCGTTGCATACCTTTTGGGCGGCGGCATCGTTCTCTCCGGCAACAATGCAGTTGTTATGGACTTGTTGGCAGATGAAGGTTGGCATGGTTTGAGTGTAGTACTGGAGACCTGGGGAAGATTGGTTGGACGAGCAGGTGCAGGTGTAATTCAAGGTTTCCTATTAAAAATTTCATATCAATAAATTGTTCACTTTGTTGATAAGCACTGGATGAAGTCCAACGTGAAGAAGTTTTACTTACAGTATCACAGGTGTTGGCGTCGTAGTTACCAGAGCACAAAGTACCGCAAGTAGAGATTTCACCGGAGCACCATTGAGCTGTTATGGATAAGTATGTATTCAATATACATCAGATAGGTTCAAGAGATCACTTACATCTCGTAGGAGCCGGGACGGTAGCTGGATCAATGGTAGAATTGTAGGTAGTTCCTCCATCCTGAGCTGCAACGAGAGCAACAATGGTAAGACCGACAATCGATTTGATAAACATCTTGAAGGTGACTTTTGGTTGAAAGTAAACAACTTAACTCAATTAATGATTCTTCGGAAGTATTGAGTTGAGTTGAGTTGAGATGAGATGATTACACTTTGGAAGTTGAAGTGAAGGAATTTGAAGAACCTTTTTGAGAATTGGAGGAGATATTGTTGTTGAAGATTGAAAAAGATAAGGAAGGGAATTGGAATTGGAATTGGAATATAGAAAGGGTGGTTGGGGTACAGTATTTAGATTTTATCGTGAAGAGAGGTTACTTGTATTTAACAATTTATTGGCAAGCACTAAAGATAAAAAAGGTGAAGCGGGAAGCCATGACCGATTAAGTTTGAGCAAGGATTATTTAATAAAGTGAAGACCAATCAATGGTGAGTAAAAATTAAGGTTACTAACTATAATTGGTTTAACTCATTACTTTCATCAATCTATCTGATCCCCTCTCCACATCAATCCTTGTCACGTACCTGAAGCATTTAACTAGCTTGCCAAGCTTACATTCACGTTCTTAATTTTTGACCAATCAAATAATGATTTATTCATTAGATACCTATTTATTTATTTATTTATTTATTTATTTATTTATCTCTAGAACTCGTATTGTTATCATGGTCGGTTTCTCTTGTTTTATTAGTGAGTAAAACTCACTTGTAAAACTCACTTGTATCAAAGCTCTTACTTAGCTCACTCGTATCTCATTTAAGCTCACTGTCGCTAAATATGAACATAATTATTATATCCTCTTAAAAGTACCGACTCCCAGTACCGAAGATCAAAATACTTAGGATGATACAGTGTATGATACACCACCCCCTCATTTTAAACGACCCATCCATCCCCATCGATAAGTTGCCGTCGGACCCAAAAAGCAAAATGTAGTTTTTGATGCAAAAGTACTGTACCTAGGTAATATCCGTAACCTGGACTGGACCAAGTAGAAAAAATAAAATTACTTTTTCCTTTCTCCCCTCTCTGAAGTTCGTTCGTTCGTTCATTCTCTTTCTTCACTCCTTCCTAGATATTTCTTATCAGGATCCCTCACTCGATCTTATTCTTATCACCAAAACCCAAAACCCATAACCCAAAATTGATTTTCCCTCCCGCCTGTCATACTTGTACCCAACAGGTTTTGAAGCGAAAAAGCTTATTCATGTTAAATAGAGGATCTGATCTTACTTTCAGGGTTCTCACTATCGGGAAGGGTGTGTTCACGGTAATTTTAATTACTCAAGCTAAAACCATATTGGGAAGATATCCAAGCTCTATAACTGTCTAAACTCAACTATATGGTATATGCTTAGTCCTATTAGAGAATAAGGTTTCGGTCAGCAAACCCTAATTGTGTATTAATACAAGATTTCATTGGCTGATTTATAAGTGGATTGCATATCAGTATATGCATTGATTGGTTCATTTGGAAATGGAATCGGAAACCACAGATTCCGTCCCCAGTGATAACCGGTTTATTAGTTCAAAACCATCTCAATCCATATTAGAACTAAGCATATATCATATAGTCGAGTTTAGATAGTAATATAATCAATATAATCTTAACTCTTTTTATTTTACTCAGAGAAGTCTTTTGAAGAGGTATATACAAAATTAAAAAAGCTATTATTAGCTTAAATATTTATAAAATTTTATTTAGTTTGAAATGTTTTATTTATTAGATATTTCTTAATTTAAGAGATTTCCTTAATCTAAACAAAATCTCTTTGATAATTATAGATTGAAATAATAGAGTTTCTAATTTTGAATTTTTTTATTATAAATTTAAAATAAGAAGATTTTTATATAATTTTAATTCAAAATCTCTTAATTATAATGAAATTGATTTTGAATTTTGAATTAATTATATTTTCTATTTTTGAATTGTATTATTCCTATAAATATTATTAAATAATATTGAAAATATTAAGTTTTTAAAGAATAAATTCGCTTATTTTTGTATATATCTCTTCAAAGACCTCGCCGAGTATTAACAAAATCTTAAAACGTTTAAATATTATTTATTTATAGTGATATACACTAAAGTCGAGTTATAGTATAATATATAATTATATATTAATTATATCTATTATCTATCTTTAAATATATCTATATTTCCATTGAACACATCTCTAAGTATCTAAAAGCCATCCTCAGTGTTACCTCTATTCCATACACCTACCTAGGTACCCATCCATCAAAACTTCACCTGGTCACCAAACCATACCGTATAAAAAACATTCATATCTCGGTTCACCATTCCATTCCATTCCAATCTCAAACAATTAAGCCCGACAAGTTCCATCCAAGGTCTGGTCTGGTCTCGGGATTACGCATCAACATCATTATGCATCACTACGCATCAACGTTCCAACTGCAAGTAAAAAAAAAGCTTTGTTGCTTTTCTTCGATGAATTTGTTGAATGAATTGTGATTTCTGTTGTTTAGCCAGGTGCCCAGATATGTACTGCAAGATTTACTGTATTTACCATCATTCTTTCCATATCGGCAGCTCCGGCACCAGGCACATTATCTACACAGACACTCGAACAATTTCAATCAGAGAAAGGAAGGCACGAGTGCCAAGACCCACCCAGTGACTTACACTTACTCGGGTGCATGACATGTGATCAACAAATACCGGTGAATGGATGAAGCTTTTGTTTTTGTTTTTGTTGTTGTGTGGATAGATATTATGAGTAGGTAAGTAGGTAAATAGGAGTGAGTACTGTATGAAAGTGGCGGATTGACGATCTGAGAGAAATCAATTAGAGTATTATATAGGAGTTAGGAGAACAATCCCCTTTATTGCTTTGTTGTCTTAATATTAGCCAGGTTCAGATTCAGATTCAGGTTCGGGTTCAATAATCAAGAGAAGTCTCTTGAGTCTTGGATGATCTGTTGGATTTCTCCTATTCAATATCAACATACTCAAACATTGTAATCTCACAAGGCGAGATGTATAACACATAAGAGTATCAAATTAAAAAAACAAATTGAGATGCAATGTTTTCTTCGTTATTTAAAGAACATTAGCTTTGGATCAGGAACCAAAAGTTCCAAATACTCAGATTTGAATTACCAAGAAGTCTTTTGATATTATTGGATTGCATTGCATTCATTGCATTAAACTTCAGCAAATCAATTTTGAATATTCAAAAAGTATCTTGGAATATTTGGATTGAGTTGAGTTCAAACAACCAAGCAACCTTCTATGTCAATTAATTTCGAGTTATTATATATACCAGTACTACATTTCAAACATGCTACATTTCAAAACACCACACTTCAATCATATTTGTCATTTTCCGCTATAATACCATATAAAACATACAATAACACCAATTTCACCCATCTGGTCTACTCTTCCCCACACATAATCATAATTCCAGCAAGAAACTCTTCAAGATACTTCACCCGAGGATGCCTCGGCCACTGGAGTCATCTTCGCTTCCATTATGATCATTGTGATCTCGTGATCCCGTTAAGAATAGTCGGTGTGAGGGATGGATCTCGAGTCCTGAGCTCTAATTCTTCTTTGCTTCTATTATCATCATTGTGATATCATTAGGAAAGCCTTAAGAAGGTTGGTCAATAGTGTGAGATGATAGGGATCTTGAGCCCGGATCCTTCACCATCATAATTACTATCACATATCATTTCCTATCTACACCTTCCCGTATACCGCTACTTTTATTTTCTGTCTTCTCGACTGACTACCTGCTCTTTGTGGGTGTCGGCAGTCGATGCTTGTTCATTCATTCTTTGGCTTGATTGATATCATCCATATCGTTATTCTATCGGCAAGAAGCTCGATTCGATAGAGAGACTTTACGAGTGATCCATCTCGATTAATCGGTCGTGCACAAGTATATCGACATGCATCTCGTCGTGCATTGGTTCATCAATTGACGCGCAGTAATTGATCTCATCATCCATTGGATGGTCCGCCATGATTTGTGGAGAATAGTCGATGATGATACTCAAGGATTCCATCATCGTGATGAGATCCGGATCTTCAGACATCTCAATATCGGTATTGACTCTCGAATCCTGAATTTCCTCAGTCATGGTGATATCTTCCGTGGGGTCGAAGCAATCGCTAGAGCCTGTCATGATACTATCTGTATCCGCATCCGAATTCGCATCCGAGTTCCAATTCGCAATATCCTCCATAGGTATGTCAATGCATTCTTCCTCGTCAACGCGGTCGATCATATTGATATCAGGACGAGGTTGCGATGTTATTGCGGCCATCTCGTAATTCATAGTGATATATAAAGAAAGTGACTTTATCTTATCTCTTTCAATGATAATCCGTATGTGCGGTACAATGATATTCAGGCATTATTGGTATAGCCAGATTACATATCGAAAAATTCCCGTATAATGATGATGTGTGCCAGTTTTATTGAAAGGTATTATCGATATATTCGTCGCGACAATTCGTGAATCCTTCTTGAAAAATTGTGGTTTTATTTTTTTTTATTTTTTTTAGATTTTGTGAGATTGATACATTAAAGGTATATAAAGTCAACTCGGGAGTCGAGAGTCAAGAATATGTTTTCGCCGCCCCTAAGTACGTTCGCCTACTTAGTACACACTACCCTGATAATTCAAAATAACACGTTGCAGGATGTCATTATCATAATTCTCAATCTCATTCTGTATCGGTATTTTAAACTTTCTTGCTTGCTTGCGTTTCTTACGAATATTGATATACATATAATGCTGTCGCTATTGCCGTCGCTACGCATTAGGAGAAGTCAAAACTCAAAACTCAGATCATCACATGTGGTTTTGATTTGTGATTCTATCCAATTATACATACATACTCGAGTACAGTACCCAAAGCAGACGTTGGTCTGCTAAATGGAGAATGGATCTTTAGCTCATAAACATATGAAGATACAAGTGCTTATTTTACTTCAATTTTCATTATTTTAAAGTAATTCATCGATCTTTGGGTGGGCGTGCGTACGCTCCTCAATTGGGAATCTAAGCATGAGCATGAGCATGAGTATGCATATAGATGGGACTTGGACTTGGATTTTCTGTAATATTACTCCAGTATACTGTACGGTATTGTATCTGACTTGTACTTGTGTACTTATTTTTCTTTAAGTTCTTCATACTCGAGTACATACATTTACATTTACAACTCTTATACTTTTAGACTCGAGTATTCGAGTATGGGTTGGATATACACTGTAGAGTACTGTATCGATATCATATCACATCATATTATACTACAGTACACTACTGATTATCCGTTTGCTATTCGTTTGTATTGCACTGCATAGTATATTCTTATCTTCATCTTTAGTTTCATCTTCAGTCTCATTCTCAGTCAGTCTGAGTCTCAGTCAGTCAGTCCATGCTATTTAATCTTACATGCTATGATAATGAGCGCATATAGATATCAATATCAATCCATGCATCATTCTCTTCATTCTCTTCATCTCCAAAACCGAACATGATGAATGGAATAGACTTGGATCACCGATCACCCATCACAGCTATAAATACAAGGTATCACAGTACCTGGCCATCAACCATCAATCATCAATAATCACAAATAAACGATCTCCATAATCATAGTAATGTATACGATATCATGCATGTATGTATGAGAAAAGAAAAAGAATCAGATATCTTTCTTTCAGAGTCTACTCCGATCTCCTATTATCGCAATTGATGAAGAGAAAGTGACAAAGAAAACAAGGGAAAATGAAGTTCCTCTTCATACTGTCTTGTCTGTACCCACAAGAGAAAATCATTTGCCAAGTAAGATCTAGCTACTAGTAATAGTATTCTACTTCTCTCAGTCTCCAATGACATATGGTGGCACGAGAATTGCTATGTCGCCTTTGGTATGCTTGAGCCCATCGATCAATAAACTAACTGAGGGAAAGCCGACGATGGGATATATGGCAACGCTGCGGTTGTAGACTGAGTTGACCAAGCCAAAGAAAACACCAGCTGCCTGTATTACTTAGTATTAAATTCAGCCACTAATGACTTGAAACGACTTACATGGAAATATGGTAATGTGTTGAATATACGGACACTGTGCAGAAGTTAGCTGGAAGTTGCTACACAATGGTTTCATAACCTCCTACCCAACGTATAAACTCGCCAGGTTTATAAAACCAGCGGGTGGCTCAGGGTTCAGTAGTGAGGTAGCATAATAATCATGAGTCCACACAATAGGTTTTGGTAATTCCATGGTTCCAGAAGTATGTAGGACGGCGAATGGTTCGTCTCGAGCAGCTTCAAAGGTTTTCCAATACGGAAAATGTGGGTGAGGCTTTTGTGTCAGCTCCAAAATTCGGATGCCCATCGATGAAAGAGCAGTAATCATTGGTTGAAGTTGAGCCGGTTGAGGGCTTGTCGTGACTAAAATCTTGCATTCAGCAAACGTAAATAGATTCTCTTGCGCACGAATGCTGTTTCGTGGTGATGTGAGAAATGTCTGTGGCACATTAACAGATGTCAGTTTTCCGTGCAGAATATGATTGCAAGGCGACCAGGTTACGCACCTTGTACCCAGCCTTGACAGCTCCCAATAAAAATGCATTGACGAGGATATCATTGGGACCAATATAGGCCAAGGCAGGGAAGTCTTTTCCAGGACCAAGATTCTCTAGGAGCCACCAAGCTACACCATTGATTGCATTGGCAAAGGTGCCATATGAAAATTTCTGATAGCCGGACTCGTAGCTAGTGGGAAGGACCGGGTATTCGGCGAAGATAGCTTCTGGTTCTTTCGCAGCGATTTTATCGACGATATGAGGTAGAACCTCTTTCTTACAAACACCAAGCATAGTAGGTTCTGCCTTGACCGAAGACATTTTCCTGGTGATTGTGATTGGATTTGAAGATATTGACAGTGTTGGGTAGATGAAGAAGAAGATACAATAGGCAGTTACTTGCAATGCAACCTGAAGTATATTTGTCGTTTCGAGGAAAACCTAAATACAAAAAGAAGCAGATTGAAAGGAATTAGGACTTTCAAGGCCAAGATGTTCGCTGTTTGCTGTGCCAGAGAGTCGCTTCAAACGCTGTGCTTCGCCTTAAAGGTGCGTTGCCAACATGTGCAATGATATCACATCAGAATTCCGTTTGTAGATTCTGCTTACTTCAGACTGTATTCACCAACATACAGAGTAGTGAGGCACAGTTCTGAGTAGTGGTGTCACTGATCCTGCAGCCAAAGAATCTTGATACCAATAACGGGGATTCGGCCCAAAAGGAGCCGGTGTGACATGCCGATACCCCTCCTCGAGAATCCACTTGTGGAATTTAATCATATAAGTGACAGCTTATGAATTCTTGTGGGGCTGTGCCTAATCAGAAGTGGTGTGCAACTGCTGATTTGTTAGAACCAACACATACCGAATTATCTCTAGAGCAATGGTTGCTTCTGAATAGAATTAGGCGCTTTATATAAAGCAGAGCTAGATTAAAATAAAGAATAATAACAGTATAGTATCGTTATTATATACTTTATTTTTTATAGAGTATCAATTATTATCTATAATCAATTAATATAACTAGATCGTTTTAAAAC